TCTGGATGGGGGGGCGAAGGGTCCTGGCGTCAGCCCAGTCAGGTTACCCTCGGTGTGGGGCACAGCTTCCCAGTTCTGCAGCCCCATTTTTCGGGCGCAACGAAGGCGGAAGTACAAATGGACATCCTGGGGCGGTTCATTTTTTTGCTTTTTTTTTTTGGGGGGGGGGGGCGTGAAACTGTTGTTTTGTCAGGGCCTAGTTGATTGAACAAAGTTTGTGGAACCCTGGTCCCAGCAGCAGTAAAACCATGAGGTCCCAATAGCAGAAAGTGCGTAAACTCAGCGGGTTCATGATGGCGACGCGCCGCGCGGCTTCCACAAAAGAACGGATCGCCTGCAGAGAAAGGCAGGCGAAGACCCACCAGTAGGCCGCATCATGGGACCAGCTCAAGGCCGGCATGGCGGCGAATTGGAAGATCCAGCGCCTGGCCCCACTTGCAACCCCAGGCGCTGTAAAAAGCAGGCAGAATCCAGGGGTGCCAAGGTATATACCCCTTTTACATACCCCTTTGGACACATGATCCCAAAAGGCCTGCTGATGTTCATACCCCTCCCCAAAAGGGGTATATACCCCTCATAAAGTGGGCTGGAAACCATGGGAAGCCAAGGGCTATGAACAAGGGGTATGTACTTCCACCCTTGGAGAGAAAAGAACATGGAAGCACAAAACTATACCCAGCCGAGTTGACTGGCCAAGTTCTCAATTTTTTCGGGCCTTGACTCAAACGATGAGGACACCTAGTCAACAATAAGTTTAAAGTTTGCCAACTCAACAAGTAAGAGGGTAATACATGATTGTTGGTTGTGACCATTCTAAGTTGAGGGTTGGCTTTACAGTTGGGGCTGGGTACCCTTTTTTGGCGAATTTAAAGGGAGGCTCCCTGCGTAGAGAAGAAGCAATGGAAAAATGGGCGCCGCTGAAGCTCTGAGCTAAAGCGTGTTTGGTAGTGTGGCTTTTGTGGATCCATGTCATGTCCAAAGCGTAGAAATTGGAAACAAAGTGCAAACAACAAGCACCAGCTGCACTTGTCCAAAGTGTTTTGTTCAGACAGGTAGCACGGGGGGTTCAACAAAAACAAACTGCCATTTAAACAGAAAAGAAGGCAGCGAGGATATGTACGGGAGGGCCAATGACGGGGGAGTGGGGGGGGGGGGCATAGCGAACGGCACGGGCTGACGGCTGTGAGGGCACTGCTTAAAGCGACTATGTGGCAAAGGGGGGGACACCCACCATCAGCTGATTCTCTAAACCCGAGTGATTCCATTTACCTCATAGGTAACCAAGGAAACCGCTTAAATTCCCAAAAGCCAAACCTCACTCTGGACACTGGGATCTGCTCGGAACGGGTATCAACACATGTTGCCAAGCGTCATCGTCACCAGCCCCGCGAAGAGCAGGTGCCGCTTCTCTAAAGGCGTCCAGTCCCCCAGGAAGCCCACGACTGGCCCTGACCACGATTTTTGTCGCCAACTTGCAGGTTCCCAGGACGGAGTTGCCCCTTACTTCCCCTCGATTTCCCCATTAAACATCATCCCAAAAGGAAACTCCGGTCAAAACACTTGCAACCAAAAGGTCAGGTCTGAACACAGGGAGCCCTGCCTTAAAAACCCAAAGTCTCACCTTTCTGGGGCGAACCCGAAATCGGGTTCAAACCGGCTCAGGTCATGTCAGGTCGATGCGCTTAAGGTTTGAAAGTGAGAGGTGCCCATTCGCAAAATGTGGCTTTCTCACAGGAGAGGATTGCCCAAAGGTCTCCCTTTCTAAGTCCTCCAATAGAGAGGTTACAATTGGGTACCCGATTTTTTTTCTGTAGTCTATTTTAGTAGGGGAACCCTCCCCCCCCAAAAAGGGGTGAGAAAGGGCACCTAGCTGGCTGACCCAGCTTCACCCATGGCCGCCCTTCGACCCACCAGAGTTCCCACTTGACTCCTGGGGGTTTGGGAATGGAAGGGGTCTTGACTTTGTCTCTTTTTGGGGAACTTAAACTTAAACTTTCATGTGCTGATGGGCAAAATCCTGCACCACCGGTCTTTCGGTGCGCCTTTTTTCGGTTTGGGCATAGGTGCGACTTCGAAGTGGCCCTTTCTGAGCAGGTGAGAACTGAGACCGCTGGACAGTTGCCTTTGACCGGTCCCCTGCAGGAAACGAGGGGGCCGATTTTGGGCCAACCTCAGAAATCGGCCCAAAAAATGGGATGAGTTTGGAGCTCTTGAAGTGGGGCCAATCAGGGTGAGTCCAACTTGGCTTAATGAATCCCAGTGCTTCCATTTCCCGAGGCCGGGAATTTGCCCACTACAGCGGTGACTGTGACCTGCGGATGGCTTGCAACACCTGCAGCGGCCGGCAGGCGCCTGTGAGCGTGGGAATGATCAACACCACGGAGGACAAAAGGCCCACGGAGCTGTGGGAAAAGCGGCGGCTCAAGAGCACCTGACCAAAAAATCCCGCAGGCTTCCCAGCTGGCCGATGGAAGGCTGCAATTCTCGAAATGAAACCATGGGAACGAAACCATCGGGGGTATTTAGCATGGAATCATCATTCCAATTTGAAACCATGGTTGAAACCATAACGGCTGTTGGTATTTACGGTGCGAAATGGATTTTGTCCATCCACAATATTATTGGGTGGTTTTTTCCGGTGTTCGGGTCGGTGGGACCCTGACAATTCGAAACTGGTTGCAGAAACCGAAGAAATCATTCCTTTTGCACATGAGCTTTTTGCACTTACTTTGGTTGGTTCTGCAAAGGGGGGGTCTGGGGACAACAAGTGAAATTGTCAAAACTTTCAGAAATGACAAAAGTCCACTACCCTACTGTGGATGGATCAAATCCTGCACCTCCCCTTGCAATACCGGTTTGGTCAATGGTTTCAAAATGCTACGACATGGATTTCATCCATCCACAATCCCTTACCTACCCCTTACCTTGGTGTCTTTTGACCCCTGCAAAACTTAATAACTTTTTGCAGATCCAAATCAAAAACCCACAGTTCCAACCACAAAGCTAAAGTCCACATATCCAACCACATAGCCATACAGTTGCCTGCCTACCCTACTTACCCTACCTTCTCTACCCTACCTACCGGTTTCCCATGGCTTCGAAGTGGTGCAGCATGTCCGTCCACAGTACCTGACCTACCCTACTTGCCGAACCTACCCTGCCCTACTTACCTTCCCTTCCCTTAAGTCCACTACCCTACTTACCTTACCCTACACCAACCCTACTTACCCATCCTACACCTACCCTACACCTACCCCACTTACCTTTCCCTACACCAACCAACTTCAGCCGTGGCGCCACCGTGAAGCCCTGGGGCCGCTGCACCGCCCACCCGAAGCCTTGCAGGAATTCCTCAGATGGCCCCCCCGAAGCCCCCGCTTCCCCGCTGGCTTGGAGCGGAGTGGTGGGCTTGAAGCCGAGCTTCCCCAAGGTTCAAATCCGAATCCGGATGCATTTTTACGATCCGGATGCATGAAAAACACCGATCGAACATTGCAACTTGTAAATGGTGTGGAGTTTTCCTTTACTTTGGCGAAAGGACATGTTTCGAATGGTTGCAAAATGAATTGCATTTATTTTAAGGAGCCCTGTTTTAACCCACCCAAATCAGCGTTACCTAAAATTTGGGCGTGTCTCTTTCTGGCTACCCTTGTGGCTTGGCTCGGGGAACCAGGAACGAACACCTGCGTTGCTTGGGGGTTCGGCACCTGGACCTTGAAAATACGGCTGGCCACACATGTTATCGCCCCCCGTTTATATGAGCTGAGGAGCTGAAGGGCTGAGATCTTTTTTGGGGAAGGGGGGGGTTTGAACCCCCCTCCCCGCCAAAGGAACAACAGCAAAGCAAGGAACCGCTCACAAAACAGAACAACAAACCAACACAAACAAACAAACAAGCAAACAAGCAAGAATGAAACCCCCACCCACCCACACAAACCAGGCACCTATACAAAGGGACACCCCTCTCTGTCCCACTTGCCAGGATTCCATGACCGCCAGGATCACCACGTGGCGCCACTCGTGCGGAACCATGGCGCTTGGGAGGGTGGCCACCTTTTGGCGGCCTCTAAAAGTTGTTGCCGAGAAAGTCAACGTTTATAGCTCGCTGGCAACCAAGGGCATGCAACGTGACTTATCAACCAGAAAGCTGGGACTGTGCCACAAAAACTCACTTCCCGAGTGGATTGGTCAGACAAAGGTTCCTGTTTGTTTACCAGTAAAATGGTCCAAGCCCAAACAGTTTAGAGTCCAGGAACTCGGGAAGTGGGCGAAAAGGCGCCTTGTGCGCCTTGAGCGCCGTCTAACGCTTCATTGCGGCTGAGCCTAAAAAGCGGTCGGCAGCGTTTTCCATCGGGCAGGGGCTTCCAAGCATCGGTTCCTTCAATTGGATTCGAAATCAGGGTTCTTCATTGCATGAGAGTTTCTGGGATGCGAGTAGCCAGCCAATGGATTTCTGAATGGATCAGGTAGCCAGAAAGTTACCTTGACAGGAACCCCCAAAATACTACGGGTGGGTTCCCTTTTAGTGGGGGTCATACTTTTGGAGGAGGTCCCACCCTCCCATTTCTCTCTCTCTCTCTCTCTCCCGCATCGTCGAGCAGGTCTCGCTCGTCCCAGATCAGGGATGCGAATCCATTTATTGAAGCCCCCCAAAGACTCGCTTCCCCAACTTCCATTTGCTTCAGCCTTCCGGAAAAAATCGTCATGTGTCCAGTAGTGATATAGGTTCCCTTTAAAACCAACAGGGAAAAACCAACAAAGGAAAAACCTAGGTTCCTTGGCTTCCCAACAAGCCAAGTGACAATCTAAACGTTTCTCAAAGGAATGAGTCCCCCGAAGAGATTGCTGCCCTTTTCTGTCGGTGCTAGTTTTCTTTTGGCGTCCCTTGCTTTCCAAGAAAAAGTGGCTCCATTGGCCATTGGAATCCGGGGAAAATACAAGGGAAGCCAAGGAAAGTCGAGCCGAGGCTGGTTTCACGGCCCACGGCCCTCCAAACCCACCTGGCGGCAGCCGCCACAGGCGAACGTGGCCAGCGAGAGGCAGGCACTGCCTCGGCTGACAAAAATGCGCGCCCGCCGTGCGGTGCTTGTGGACAGTAGAGTTGGAGTAAATTGGGATGGGTGTAGAAAGTGTATAACTGTTTGTGGATTCAGTGGAAAACCCATGATTTCAACCAAAAAGTTTAAAGTCTAAAGATCCAACCCAAACTAGGTCATCCCGTAGAGAGGTTAGAAGAAGTTGGTACCAACTTTTTTCAGGACGTCTATTTTACTAGGGGAAACATCCCTCCAAAAAGAGTAAAAGGGCACTACTGGAGACCTAGCAGAGTTGGGGTAAATTGGGATGGGTCGAATTGAGGGATCTCAAGGGGTTAAATGGTTGAAATGGTTGAGGACGCCCATTTTGGGTGACCTATTGTAGAGAAAGCTGCTTGGTACCCGCAGTTGAAAAAGAGGATCACCTTTTGAAGCCTTGACTATGGACCAGAACAGGAAAACCAAAGGTCAAAAGATGTCAAAAGGTCGGGCCAAAGAAGGCGAGCTCCGGAGTTGGGTTGGGGTGACTTGGTTGGTCCGGTCCCTCGACTAAGCCAGCCACATTTCGCCGGGCTGTCGGGGACGACCTCAAGAATCGATCGAAAGCGCACGAGAAATTCGTTCGGGCAAATCCATTGGCTTGAAGAAAATGGTCCTACCACATGATTCAAAAGGTGTTGACTTTTAGACAACATCAGTTCCTACAAGCCATGTCCCGTCCTAAAATTCGAATAAACATGGTGTACAACATCTGGATTTGTTTTCTTTAACGAGAAGTGCAAAAGCTGAACGAAGGGACCCCCAAGCAAAGAAACATCTCATGAGCTCGTGCTATTCCCATGGTGAGCTCGCTATAAAGCAGGCAGAGGGGTGCCAAGACTCCGACAAATGAATGTTGATCCCATGATATCCCATGGTAAAATCACCGGGGAAAGAACGTCAGATGCCTCTACCCCAAGGGGGGGGGGGGTGGAGCATTAAAATTCTGAGTTTGCAAAACCTGCTTTACAAGCTGCCTGCACGGAAATAACAAGCTCATCTTGTTGACCCCTTCCCCCTCATTGTTTTAGGATTCGGGGCTGGGAAGGCTGGAGAAGCGGTCTTTCAAAGAGGTCCGAAGTCCAGGGAGTACTTCTGACTCGCCAAAGGACAGTCAGCTTGCCCTTGCCCTGGTACAACAGGGGTCTCTGTTTGTTGCTCGCGTGTTTCCATGCTTTTCCCGTTTTCTCCAGAGGGACCCTAGGCACGCCTAGTAAAGGCCCACACGAAGCATCTGGTGAAACTGACAAGTTGATGAACTGACTAGTGGATTCCATTGAAGCGATGGAGAAAAGGGCTGTGGGAAACAACAAAGGGCCTCCCAAAGACGAACCCCCATACAACAAGGGGATTCCCAAAAGTATGGCAGAAGTGGCTGGAGAAACCCCGAGTGATCAACCACAACCTCAAAATCGAAAACCAGTTTGCCTCAAAGAAACTTGGGGCCTGGCGGCCTGGCGGCAAAACACCCGAAGCTGACCCCAAGGAAAGCCCAACGAGCTCGCTGCCAGCTTTGGCTCTAAAGAAACTTTGGGGCACCCGGACCCCACGGCCAAGCATCACTTGGCTTGTCCGTTTTCTGATCCCCGACAAGAAAAGTGAATAACTTTGTGGGGGCTACGTGGAAAATAACACAAAACCGACTCGAACCGCCAAGTTGTAAGATGTTGTAACAGCTCCACAGCCTGAAAAGGTGTCAGCCGAACAAATCGTGACCCCCGTCTCGCTCGTGGGCATAACCGCCATCTCCTGCCCGCTTTCTCCCAACTTCTTCTGACCACTTTGGCACCCTTCGGCACGCGCCTTGCCGATGCCGTGCTTGAAGCGACCAAGCTCATGTGGGGGCGCAAGCTCCACCAACGCGCCTCCCCCGAAATCGCGAAGTCGAGCGGGGAAGCCGGAAGCTTCACGATGGACAGAATCCAATTCGCACCATGTGGAACTCTTATAAGCCTTGCCATGTTGCCACCTGCAGGTCTCAACCTTGGACTTTCGTCGCAGCAGGAAGCAAAACTTCAACCCAGGGACCAGACATGACCAGAATCAAGCACCAACCAAAGGCTCACTTGCCCCTTAGGGACCAGAAATAAGCGGTGATCACTTGTTGGGCCCATGACTAGAACTTCCATTCTTGCCCCCTGGCAAAAAATATGAACACATTTCCAGCAGTGAAGTCGAAAATAGACAAACTATTTCAGAATAGTCATTCCATGTAACAGGGGGCAGTAGAAGGTCAAATCCAAAGGTCAAATCCAAAGGTCGATCCGCCCAAGGGGCCTTGGCGCGAAGGTTGAGGCCTGTTTTCGCATCCCCCTACTTGCCCTGGGGAAGGGGGGTTGGAGGTGCGCGATCCGAATCCATTTATTCAGTATTTCCCCAAAGGGCAAATGGAACCATACAACTAAAAATGAACTTAAAAATACCAACACACATGAACATGAAGAACCATTTATCCAGTATTCCCCCTCAAATGGAATCATATTTATGGAACCACCAAGAATAACACACAAATCCCGTCGAAGTCTTTTCCCCCTCCTTCGTCGAACCCGGACTCGAACCCGGACTCGAATCCTTGGGGTGTCCTTTCCGCCGGCCTGCGGCAAGGAAGTCGGACCAGGCTGCACCCACCCCGACGATCTCCGTGTCGTCCAGCACCTCTGACCAGGTGCTAGCTGGGTGGGGCTGGTGTAGGCCTGGTGGGGTGGTTAAGGCGTCAAGCCCCTCGTCCACTTGAAAAGTCCTAGAGTCTCACTTCAGGATGAGCTGGTTGGGGCAACAGACACCCCTGGGCGAATTGCTACATTTATACACTGCAAGCAAGGAACACCCCGAAAAACCAACGGAGCTCCTCGAGCAGGGCAGGTGTGCAAATCGAAGAAATCCATGGCATCCAACCTTCTGCCCTGGTCATTGGTGACGCTTGTAAATGGATGGCATTAAGCCCATCTGAACCTATCGAACCCGTCTGGGTGTGTCTCCTTTTGAGTGTGCCGCCTGTTTGCTTTCCTGATTTGAAGGGAAACCATTGACGGTCAACCACCAGTTTGGGGGGCTCCCCTAAAAAGCAAACGAGCCACCCATGTTATTTCTTACCAAAATGTATCTCTTACCAAACTGACCCGAAAAGGACACATTGTAGGCCCTGATCCAAGGGCGTTCTACCTTCCAGGCAAAACTTGTAACCGTGGGGAAAAACAGGCGGGGATCCGCATCCGCAAGAAACAGCACAAACCAAAACAAGGAGCCCCCTCTCCATGAAACAAACAAAACAAACACAAACAAGCAAGCAAGCAAGCAAGCAAGCAAACAGAAAAGAACAGAACAGAACAGACAAACAAGCAAGCACAAAAACGGAAAAGCAAACAAACAAACACGCACACACACACACACAAAAACACAAACAAACAAACAAGCAAAGAAACAAAGAAACAAAGAAACAAGCAAAGAAACACACACACACAAACAAACAAACAACAAAACAAACAAACAACCATACAGACAAACACACAAACAAACCAGCAAGCAAGCAAACAAAGAAACAACGAAAATAAACAAGCAAACAAACACACACACACAAACCAACAAAAACAACAACAACAAAAAACAACCAACAAAAAACACAAGCAAGCAAACAAAGAAACAACGAAACAAGCAAACAAACCCACACAAACAAACAAACAAACAAACAAACAAACAAACAAAAGAAAGAAAAACACCAGCTAACAAACACAAACAAACAACCACACAAACAAACAAACAAACAAACAAACACACCAACACACAAACACACAAACAAACAAACAAACAAACAAACAAACAAACAAACAAACAAACAAACAAACAAACACACCAACACACAAACACACAAACAAACAAACAAACAAACAAAGAAACAAACAAACAAACAAACAACCCCACAAACAAACACACAAACAAACAAGCAAGCAAACAAACAAACAAACAAACAAAATAAACAAAAACACCAGCTAACAAACAACACACGCAAAAAACAAACAAACAATAAGCACACAAACAACCACACAAACAAAACAACAAGCAAACAAAGAAACAAATAAACAAAGAAACAAGCAAACAAACACACACACACACACAAAGAAGCAAACCAAACACAAACAAACAACCACACAAACAAATGAACAAACAAACAACCACACAAACAAACAAACAAACAAACAAACAAACAAACAAACAAACACACAAACAAACAAACAAGCAAAGAAACAAAGAAACAAAGAAACAAGCAAAGAAACACACACACACACAAACAAACAAACAACAAAACAAACAAACAACCATACAGACAAACACACAAACAAACCAGCAAGCAAGCAAACAAAGAAACAACGAAAATAAACAAGCAAACAAACACACACACACACAAACCAACAAAAACAACAACAACAAAAAACAACCAACAAAAAACACAAGCAAGCAAACAAAGAAACAACGAAACAAGCAAACAAACCCACACAAACAAACAAACAAACAAACAAACAAACAAACAAAAGAAAGAAAAACACCAGCTAACAAACACAAACAAACAACCACACAAACAAACAAACAAACAAACAAACACACCAACACACAAACACACAAACAAACAAACAAACAAACAAACAAACAAACAAACAAACAAACAAACAAACAAACACACCAACACACAAACACACAAACAAACAAACAAACAAACAAAGAAACAAACAAACAAACAAACAACCCCACAAACAAACACACAAACAAACAAGCAAGCAAACAAACAAACAAACAAACAAAATAAACAAAAACACCAGCTAACAAACAACACACGCAAAAAACAAACAAACAATAAGCACACAAACAACCACACAAACAAAACAACAAGCAAACAAAGAAACAAATAAACAAAGAAACAAGCAAACAAACACACACACACACAAAGAAGCAAACCAAACACAAACAAACAACCACACAAACAAACAAACAAACAAAAACAAACAAATGAACAAACAAACAACCACACAAACAAACAAACAAACAAACAAACAAACAAACAAACAAACACACAAACAAACAAACAAACAAACAAACAAACAAAAACAAAAAGCTAACGAACACACACACGCAACAGCAAACAAACAACAAACATCAAACAACCACACAAACAAAATAAGAAGCAAACAAGCAAACAAACAAACAAACAAACAAATAAACAAAGAAACAAGCAACCAAACACACAAACACACACACACAAACAAACAAACAAACAAAAAATAATCAAACAACCACAAAAAAAGCAAGCAAGCAAGCAAGCAAGCAAGCAAGCAAGCAAGCAAGCAAAGACACAAAGAAACAAGCAAACAAACACACACGAACAAACAAACAAACAAACAAACAAACAAACACACAAACAAACAAACAAACAAACAAACAAACAAACAAACAAACAAACACACACAAACAAACAAACAACCAACCACACAAACAAACAAACAAACAAACAAAAGAAACAAAGACACCGGCGAACAAACACACACACACACACACACACACACGCAAAACAAACAAACAACAAACACACAAACAACCACACAAACAAAACAACAATCAAACAAGCAAACAAAGAAACAAAGAAACAAAGAAACCAAGAAACAAGCAAACAAACACACACACACACACACACAAAGAAACACAAACAACCACACAAACAAACAAACAAACAAGCAAGCAAGCAAACAAGCAAGCAAACAAGCAAGCAAGCAAGCAAACAAACACACACACACACACACAAAAACAAACAAACCTACAACAACCAAGCAACCAGAGCAAGGAATGTCCCCAGTTCTCACCTGAGGCCGCAGCCAGCAAGGCTTCGCCCCGCGCAAGCGCGCGGCCTCAGCAGGGCTCCCTATGCGACCTCAAGCCCCAACTCCCTCCAATACAAGTAGTTTGGAGGTTAGGGGCTGCATGTGCCCTTTAAATCAAGAGGTTCGTAAACCCATTCAAAACATCGTTTAACTCACGTGCCCAAAGCACCTGGAAATAAAGGCTTTGGGACCTCTAAACATAGAGCAACAAGGGAAAACCAAAAGATCAAAAGGTCGATTCGCTGCGATTTGTATCCACCTAGCATTTTTAAGGGGTCCTATCCACATATTGCAAGCAAACCAACCATACTCAAGAAAAAAATAACAAAAACACACAAAACAGGAAATCACGGTGACTAGGTTTTGTTCCCTTACTTGCAACATTTGGGGCATCCACCACATGTCCACCTGAAACATCACAGCCAAGAGGAAACTGACCTACAATTGTTCCAAACAGTGATGCTTAAACTTGCTAAAGTTGGCGTATAGGAGCCCACCCCACCGCACCCCACCCCACCGCCCCCACATTAGTGCTGGCTTGGATTCGTGGTTTGGAGGTTCGGGGGCTGCCTCCCCACGTTTCAATAGTAGTTTGGATCCCCAATCCAAACCAGAAATGACCCTCCCTCAAACAAACATGGTGGCTGACAGGAGGGTTTTGGAAGACCCTGGCCACTTCCACGATTGGATAGAGGGCCAGCATGCAAAAGAAACGGGAACAAGGCCCACCCCCGGAGTACGTACTTCCCGTCCTTTTCCCCCAACCCCCCCAACCCTTCGGGCATGATTTCAAGCCCCAGCAAGGAGGCCTTTTTTGGCATTTACCAGGTCCTCCAGAGAGATTCGCATAAGGGTGCCAACTTTTTCTGTAGTCTATTTTAGTAGGGGAACCCTCCTCCTCAAAAAGGGGTGAGAAAGGCCGACGGCACCCCAAAAACCAACATGGGGATGTGGGGCTTGCGCGGCTTCAAGAATCCGGTCTGAGGGAACTAGTGGATTGGCCAGAAGCCTTGCAAAAAGTGTGCTCTCAAGAAGCTTTAAATCCGAGCTGGCCAGAAGCCCTGAAAAAAGTCCACTCTCAAAAAGCAGGTGACAAAACCGCGCCCCTTTACTTAGTCCCTGACTTCATGGGCTTTAAGCTTAGCCTCCTGACACGGAAATGGTCTTGGAGGAGACCCCAGGTGGCCTAAAACAGACCCACCCTGCACATCCGCCGGGCCCCAAAGGAGCCGGAGATTCGCGGCCATGACTAAGTACCGGGTCAATAGGTCGATGTTGGACAAGTGAGTGCATAAACAAGACCTTAGATGCAGCCAATGGATCGAAAGCCTTGCCCTTCAAACTACTTGCCACATAAGTTGGGATGAATCATGATGCATAGCTCCTTTGATTGAAGTTTGAGAGGGAAACAATCAGTGGCACTGGGAAAAGCAACTGGGTCTTCCGTTGGGGCCCTTCAAGGAGAACACGACTTAAACCTTAAAATCCGGCATCCAAGCTACCTCGCGACAGTGGCCCTTTACTTCGAAGAAAAACAACTTGAATCCAAGTTGCCCAGCGACATCCAGCGACGCAAGGCAAAACCAGGACCCGTTGAAGGTGGTAGCAGGCTCCATCTTTTGGCAAAGGCCCACCAAAACAACTGTATAGAGCAAATTGACCCCTTTATTTGGGGTAATGATCCCATTTGTTGTTCGGGTCATGGAGACTCCAGGTATCGCAAAGGCGCTTTCCCGCCGATTCGCGGCCTTTTTGCTTCCCGGCGCGATGTCCCGAGTAACCAGGCTCAACGCAGGCCTTTTTTTCCAACGCGGAGTTCGGGCGGGCGCTTTCAGGCTCGCGGACGCTGCTGTGCCAGGATCCTTTGGACGGCAGCAACACGCTGGCCCTCGCCAAAATCAGGCAGGAGACAAGCGCCAAGCCCGAGCAAACAAGTTGTGGTGCTTCATAGGTAGGTGTGCCTCTGTAAAGAAAAAAGAAGTGCATGGTCAACAAACGTCAGCCATTTGTTCGGGCCAAAGCCTCACTCAAAGATCGGACCCCAAAATCGGGGCCCGCTGCTTCTTTGCCTCCTGTGAACTTCCTCTCTCCCTGCATTTCCCATTTGGGTAGCTAATGGGAGGTTCGCTTCACATCAGGTGCGAAGGCACGACAACCAAACGCCAGCAGTAAATCACTGCAGCTGGCTTCAGTACAGCCTCCTTGAAAAGCTCCGCGAACCGGCACTTTGAAGTCTTATTCCTGGCAGGGAAGGATCCCTTCGAAGCGTTCAGTTTGAAAAAACTAATTGCAAGAAACTATTGCTTTCCATTGCGGACGTGCCCCAAACATAGACTCTCCTTCTGCGTGTATAACCTATAGGTACAAATGTATCATGGTTCATTGTGGCAGCCGTATCCCAGCGCCATGTAACTCTATCCCTCAGTTGGCTCAAATCCATGCGTCGATCAACCTGCTGGACATCCAATCATAAGATCTCCGATCCCGCCCCCTGTTTGCCCAAAAACAGCTGCGTGAAAGCAGATGGCGCAACTCCCTGATTCTGGCCATCCCCTGGACCTACCCCTCACTTGCCCAGAAGTCATCACCTTTTTTGTGTCCCCGACTCCAAAGGCACCACATCAGGAAACGCCAAAAGGTCGGATCTGGTCAATTCGCTTTGGGCATTGGTGAGCCTTTACTTAATCCACGCAAAGCGAGTCCGGTGCAAAATAAGCTTAATCCCCAAACGCCAGAAGGGACTGCTGGAACCCTCTGTAGCCCTTGAGCTTGAATGTGCGGTTCAACCATGGCAATGCCGTCGAATGAACATCGGTGTGTCTTAAAATAGGGTCCATTGGGTTTCCTTTCAAACCAACCAAACATGAAGTACCCTCAAAAAAGACACACCCACATGTACATAAATTGAAATACTATAGCATTTAAGTGCATGAACATAACAGTCAATTGTTTCTCTTCTATTCTTTGCGATTCAGTGTCTAGCTAGACCTGTACTCATGTCTGCATTCGTCTAAACAACAGTGATCTCATACCTATGATATCCCCCCCTTCAGGGGAAGGAGGGTGGGAGGTCCCCACTTCCATTTATTTCGTCCAAGGGAAAATGGGTTGCTACAAATGGAGATCTCCAGTCGAAATCCCCCCTCCCCCAATCAATCATTTTTGAGGGGCTGGGGATCCTCTGCTCTTTGAGGCACGTGCCGTGCCTTGTCCTTGCCCACCGGGACGACCGGAGACTTGTGGAACTGCCTTAGGGCCGAAGCGGTTTGCTATGTGCCAAAAGGACACAGTGCAGATTCGTCGGCTTGCCTCTGGAAAACTGTGGAAAGCCATGGAAAACTATGGAAAACCATGGAAAACCATGGAAAACTATGTAAAACCATGGCAAACTATGGACAACTTACAGTTTGGATGAAAGAAGATGGCACAACCCCACCCCGCCTGCAACCTGTTTGCATGGGAAACTAAAGATGCCCTCGTCAACTCAGGTGAAGTCACAGTTGGATTCAGGCAGCCTGTGCACCGAACCAAGTGGCGAGGAGGATGAACTTGGCTAAACGTGACCAACATGCGCCCGTTTCACCTGAGTTGATTGTGGGCACTAAGGCGGTAAAGATTTATATGGGTCTGCCTTTTGTTGAGGGTACCCTGTTTGTTGTGGTTTCAAAGGGAAACAAACAGGAAAACCGTCCACTCAACAAAAGCACACCCATCTAGGTCAAAATTCCAACCCTCACCAAGTGGTTTCGCCTACAATCAGAAGGGTTTGGGCGCTCACTCGTCCGAGGCCCGGGCCGGATGATGTAGTAGAGATTCCAGAGCTGAACCTTCGGCGAAAAAGCATCTGCTGAGCTAACAAGAATATCTCACTGCCTCAGCGGATGGCCAACAAAAAAGGTAATCAAGCTTGTTGTTTCCCACTGAACTGGTCTTTCCAAAAAGTTGAGAGTCCAGGAACTCAGGAGTAATTTCTTCAAAAAACATGAAAAACAGAATCCTCAGGTATATAGCCTTCAATGAGCTCGTTGTTTACCCTCGCCGCTGGAAAGAGACCCGAAAGCAAACCCGCATCCGACCCCCACACTGGCCCCGCTACTTTGACCATGATCAAAGCCACCCGAGTGGCTGGTTGGAGGGAGAAAAGGCTGTTTGTATAGGTCCATAATTAGATGAACCCATGGCCATTTGGACCCCCTTTGAGGGACTAAACTAAATAAAATAAAGGAAAGTGATAATTAGATATGAAAAGATCCAGAATTCCTTTATTATTAGTTGTTACTTTTGGAGCTCACATTTGTCTTTCTTATGGTTATTGTTTCTCTTCTTTTAGACCTCTACAAAGTTCCTTCAAGAGCGGGCGATGAAACCCTGAGAATTAATATGATATAGACAAGCCTTCATTGCATAGCTCCTAACTCTCTACGTGTCACCCAATCATGAAGTCTGTTAATAATTATGTTGGAGAACATTTATGAGTGAAAAGAAAGGACCGATTTACAATGTAGAATTGCTATGTACATATGATTTGATGAAGTCCTTCCTTCTAAGGCTTTCTCTTACCTAATCTCATCTTTTCATTTCTCTGTTCATACCTTTACGGTTTTCTACATGAGATTAATAGAGTTATAATGGATGAGTGAAACGAAGGGAGTGAATGGGAGAAGTGCTTAGACAAGAGCTGTTTCTTAGGGAAAAACAATTCATATCTGGCCTATTCTGGCCTAATTCTTCGTCACTATTCCTCCTTATCACGGTGTCCTTCTTGTCCTTTCCCTTTCTCGTTCATGGATTGACCGAACGAAGCAAGGGAAAGCAATGGATAAGAGAAGGAAGGGCGACACTTATCTTTGTCCTTTCTGTCGGCTGATTTCCGATATAGCCATCACCAAGGGTTAAGAAACTCCATAAACTACAGGCTACAATCTTCAGGCTAATGTTGACCCAGGATTAATAAACCCTTCCCACTATTGGGGGGTGTTCCCTCCCAAAGTGGTCTCAATCCCCACTAAAAGGAATTGGCCACCCCCCAATCAAAATCAACCAGGGGTTCTGCTTAATCCGGGGTTAACATTAGCCCCTTTTTTGGCCAGGGAATCCCGACTCATGTTTCGGGTTCGGATTCGGATTCGCCAGAACCAGTCCCACACATATTTGCCATCCAAAATGGTCCAAACCCAAGTCCATGAACTCAGCAAGAGAGCCAAAGGTTTTTAGATCATGCGCAGTGGCGGAACCACAGGCGTGGTTAGAAGACCGGTCTGCTGAGGGCTCGAGAACATGGGCACGGGCACATGGCAACGCCTTGTTTGAAGTTGACCGCTTGTTTCGTGAAGAACCCACCAAACAAGGACGGAACCATGGGTGGCACTGAACGACTGGGAAAAGCGAGTTAACTAGGTTTTTTTTCTCGGGAACCATAACAACCAGCCGGGAAAAAGGGTCGCGCAATGGGGATCGGTCTCAGCGGCTCAAATTTTCGAGACTGGGTCGCGCTAGTCAGTCTTGTAGCCTGCCTCAAGCTGTGTAGAACATACGTGGGTCTTTGTTCGGGGACCCCCCAACACGGCGGGTCTTCCTTTTGGTGTCCCTTTGAACCATCAAACATAGGCTGCCCTCAAAAATAATGATGCCCATGTTATCACCTGGTATTCTGGCATTCCTACTTCAGGGAGCTTCATCGGCTACACCTCGCTTTAACCCTAGGGCCCGTGCGCTCCCTGTTGAGTGCAGAACTATGGGGGACACGCGCGCAGTGCCGTGCAATAGTGTTTGGGAGCGAGCAGCGCCTTCAAACAGCTTCCCTTTCGTTGGTGGTTTGGGTTGGTGGTTTGGAGCTTCGGGGGCAGCTTCCCATTTACAAAGTAGAAAAAGGGTTGAAATCCCAAACCGCCCATCCAAACTACCAACTGACGCTTGCATTCAGACTATCGCCCAAGCAGCGAAACAGGGCTCTTGGCAAGGCAGCCTAGTGAACGCCTAGTTTCGCCGAGCGTCGATGATGAAAATCACGACGCAGGCCGCGATAATCCCAGCTGCCAGCATGTTGCTGCGGTAGATTGACCTCAAGCGCAAGCACAGCACCGCAATTCTTGCTGGGTTCTTCAAAATCGGAGGGATCCGTAATCCAAATCCGCAACCTGTGGGACACCACGACAGCAAGGGAAACCACTACTACATCTTCCAAAGGATTCAGCATCCCCCTGCATTCAGGGGAGGGTGGTAGGGGTTCATCCAGTCTTCCCAGCCTTGCGCATATAAGGGAAAATGGAATCATACATGGAATTAGAGGGGTCACCCCTCCC